GCTTGATTCTCACGAGTCAAGACTTCGCGTGCCACCATAAGACGACGAAGAATCAATGACGCCAGAAGCCTTGTCACAACAGGCGTCAAGTTAACACCTCTGTGGTTGCTACATTCACTGCGAGTGCCCTTTTTGAAAATGGGCACCACTATCGATTCACCCCAGTTGTCTGGGACGGTCTCCTTCTCCCAGATAGACCCAAATAAGCTGAACACGCACTGACTGAGGAATCCACCCCCATCCTTGAAAAGAGCAGGTGGAAGGTCATCAGGACCAGCAGCACGATGACGCTTGAGTAGAGAAATGCATTCGGACACTTCTGAGACTGAAGGCGGCTCCATATGTGCGGTCCAGCTTTTTGTTGAAGGCCGGGTTTCCGGATTGGGAGTAGCAGGTGGCCAGCTGAATTGTTGTTCGAAGTACTGTGCCCAGCGATCCAAACGTTCTGCTTTGCTGCATATCAGGGAGCCATTTTGGTCCCTGATTGTTTCACTGACAAGAGGTTTCCGAGGACCAGTCGAACGAATCAACTGGAACAATTTGCGCACGTTTCCAGCATTCTTTGCATCTTCCATTTCTTCGACCTTTCGGGTCCACCAAGCTTCTCGGTCTGCGCGGACACTCAGTTTCACCTGGCGTCGGATGATGCGCCGGATGGAGTTGTGGTGGCGACCAGGTGGGATCTGTCGCCGGGCCTCCAGAAAAGACACGGTTCTATCAGAGATCCAATGCTTGGATGAGGTTGGCTGGGTTGTACCGCAAGCAGACGCTCCTGCTTTGAGTAACGCGTTGGATATTTTTTCCCAGTGGCCGTTTATATCCGACACCGTACCGTCCGGCAGGCATTCGAGGAGCTGTTTCTGATAGTTTCGTTTGGTTTCTGGATCAACTAGCTTCTCAATGGCTAAGCGAGGTGTGCGCGATTTGCGTACACCTGAAAAGCGCAATGAAAAGCAGCAGCGTACAAGTGCATGGTCGGAGTCCACGCTGGTGTTCCAGAAGGAGCGGCAGGCGGTGATCGACCCTCGCCACCGATAACTGACGGCGATGTGGTCTATTTGGATTCGGCGCTGGTTTGATGGTGGGCACCACGTTGTCAAGCGATTTCCGCTGTTCCGGAAATTCGTACTGCAAAGGAACAGCCTGTGATCGGCACACATCTGAAGTAAGCGGTCTCCGTTGTCCGTGCGTCTAGTGTCCAAACCAAGACGACCACCCAATCGGGCCTCAGCAGCGCTTAGTCTACCTACCTGGGCGTTCATATCACCAGCAACCACAACGATATCTGAGCTTTTAGCCTGTTGTAGAAGGGCACCTAGAGCGTCATAGAAACTGTCCTTGGCAGATTCAGAGCTACAGTCAGTTGGGGCGTAAGCAGAAACAATAAACAAGGTGCGATGAACCTCACTTCCTCTAGATTCTCTCACCGATGTTGCCAAACGAACCGCACAGAGGCGACTGTTTACGGGTATCCAATCAAGCAGAGACGCTTCCGCTCGTTCGCTCAATACAATACCCACCCCAGCATATCCAGCTGCAGCGGCCTCTACATCACCAGAGGTGCGCAGTCGGAACCTGGATGAGAGCTAGGGGGTAGCCAGTTCGATTACAGTACTTGCGTCCTGCGTCCTTGTTTCTGACAGACAACATACATCAATACAGAGGAAATCCAGCGTACGCGCAAGAGCCGCCTGTTGACCAGCTTGCTTCACTGTGCGAACATTGAAGGTGGCTAAGTAGACAGGCTTTCGGGGTTTGAAAACAGACTTCGAAGTGTTTAGGGTTGTAACTAAACTCGGACGTGCAAAAGCTGCAGCTGAGTGTGATGCAGGGCGAGCAAAACGGTCAGTCCTAGAGCTGGGACCTGCGGATAAAGTATTCAAATTTGGGCGGGGGAGGGTGGAAGACGGAAAAGGTGAAAGTGTAAGAAGGGAGGCGTCAGCAGTAGCATGGGCTAAGATGTTTCAATCCTGTCGTAATGTTCCATCATACAAATTGTACTTCATATTGTTTTCTACACTGCAACTGTCCCTCTCAAATCTGTTGATCCACCTACTTGTGTAGTCTACATGATTTTAGAAGTTTTAACTTTCCGCACTCCGACACATGACAGGAAATGACTACGTTGGGTCAAAAAGGAGCACAACGGAACAGAAAATAGACATGATACCAACGAACTGTACAGTGTGTGGACACATTATGAGTAGTGCCGGACGGTTTTGTGTTACTGCCTGATGTTAGCTCGAGTAGGTCGCGGGTAGGAGCGTGCGGCAACACCCTAACTAAAGTCGAAATGACATGAGCAGTGCAGCGAGGTACGGTGGGTGCATGGATGGATACGGTGATTTTTCTTCCTCAGCTTGGACAGTTCTAGAAAATCGAACAAAACGTCACTTTTCCCATCGCCGTCACAACTTAGCACGGCTAAATGCAGCAGTGCTCTTGAAGATGTAGGATTTAGAACGAGATGAATAGCAAAAATTAAGACAGCCCTCTGGAAAGTAATTATAGGCGAAGATCAGGAGCTTGATGCAACCCAGACATCGGATGAAAGTCAAAAGGCAAAAATATCGTACATGTTTCCAGTGTTTTAAATCTGTAAAGAGGTGTTGAGGAAAACAGACAACTTGAAGCCCTCAAACCTCACAGTAAAATTTGACACGTAGGAGTTCGATTGGCTTATAGATTATGATTGTTTCTACCAGGCATTTGCTAGTTTAACTTATAAGCGAGGTAATGGACGATTGATTCTAACACCAAAGTAAGATTACGCCAATCAAATTTCCAACACGTCAGTGATGTAAAACAGCATGGTGCATTCACAAGTGCACTTACCTTAGATGTATAGCGCCGGCTTCGCCTAGACCACACAACTAACACAGTACCAGGTTTGTATTGCGAACTACATTCAATACATAGTTCCTGTAAAGAAGCAGTGAACTGGAATTTTGCCGCTTTCTTCCCGATTCTTTGTAGGCGTCGCCAAACACTCATCGGACGGATGTCACCCCTTTAAAGGGCAGCTGAAATTCATTTAAATTCATTCTTATTGAGAAGGCGCATCCAGCTTTGTAATGGACATGTCATCGTTATCATCAATTACAGCAATAGTAGAGAAAACGGGTGCTCCACTGCCGAACAGCCATGTTTGTGTCGGCCACATAACGATAAAAACCAGCACCGACATGTTCCATACGAAAACGGAACAGGTGGTATTTGACGGGATTGAAAAACTAAACACCGTGTGAACTTCGTGCTTTCGCAAAGTGCTCTGATCGGTGTTCAGTTCACTTAAAGGGTGAATGAACGATAGATCATATGGATGAAATTTTCACGATTTTTTGTAAGTGTAGTGCAGTCCATAAGCTCAAGCTATGAGCGAGAAACGGAATGCCATGAGCAACTGTTCGACTCCAAGCTATCCACCAGGGACAAGAATATCAAGCTCTGAACGAGCATCTTACCAGCGGACTAATGGTGAAAGACAACGCTAATTCCATATATTTAGCCTATTTTCGTCCATTGCTAACTTGATCCGTGTACATCTAAGTAGACATTTTTGGGATGCTGTAACTGCCCTAAACCAAGGAACGCCGTCAGAAAAGTCACATTCCTGAAAATAATCTCAAATTACCCGGAACTCGTTGAGACCCTCAAACTCAACCAAAATTGAAGTAGGATAGCTGACAAGCACCTGGGCCGAAATAGCTCAGTGGTTAGCGCGAGAACGAAGGTTCGTGGTTCGAACCAGGCCTCCGCCTCTTGACTTCCTCTGTCTAGGCCTGGGCAACCTGGCAGTATTTCAGCCCTCGTGCTTCCTTCGGGCGGCACAGCAGCTAAGCACCGAAAGGTTGTTACAGCTGAACGATTTCTTTTCAAGCATCTGGTTCAGAAAGGCCAGCTGTTGAGTGGACGCTCAAGTAGTCAACCAGCAATGGCCGACGATGATGAGTGCTCGGCTACGTCATAGAAGCACCGCCAACCAATCACCAACCACCGGTCAAAAGTACTCACTAGATACTACAGTGCTCCTTGTAATAGTTGTAGCCGCTTGTTCTTAATAAAGCTGTTGTGTTCCTTGTTGGTGAGTCTTTCTGACACTAAGGTTTGCAGCTAGTTACAACAAACGCCGTTCATGCAAATTACAAATCCGTCTTCTGCTTTTAAAGAAACTGTGATCGGGCCTCCACAACCTCAGCCGGATGTGCTTCCGCCCTTACTTGTTAAGTATGCGTAGGGGAGTCAGATGTGAAACTTCGGTTGAGAGTTTTCATCTTTTATCACGTGAGCTTAACGCTCGGCGAAACATCGAATTATAATAAAATGTTTGGTCAAAACGAATTTTTGGATTATGTATATAAACACCTGGATACTGACGACTTGTTATAGCAGAACGATCACCGATCCTCATAAAGGACTTTATAGTCGCTAAGCTATGATGTTGGGTCCGAGGGAATGTATTTTACGCAAGTGCAACCACATCCCGAAAATCTCAGCCAGACAATCGCCTCCGTCTAAATAAGGATTCGTTAGAAGAAGAGTCGGATAAAGGAGTATTCGGTTAAGATATTCAGTCTCATAATTACTGGACCACTGATCTAACGACTAGCCTGCTTTTTTTCAATTTGGTGGTAAGCAAAGGTCACGACGAGGTCTAGATCCAACAGAACCAGGTAACAGTTCCTTCAACGAAGCCAACAAGTAGGGGTTTTGCCAAGTTTTTTATAGTACAGATTTCAGCATGTGTGTAGTCAGGTAGTTTGGATGTCGTGTGGCATATTGGTTGATGTAGCACTTGAGAAAGAACAAAGCGTTCTTGATTTGGCTTTTTTCGCTCAATGTTACCTTGTTTGATTTCCTGCCTGCTGGTAATCAGTTCAACGACAATCGCCATTTAAGTAGTGGTTGTCTCTCCAAGAGCGATTTCTTCGCGGAGAACGATTGATCTGATCCCAAAATTGCTAACCCCGACCTAAAGCTGCCACCTTGACGTGGTGGTCGGGCTTCAGTGCTGCAATGATCCCGCGGGCTACACTGGCTGGAACTTCGTTCCACAAGGTACAACCATGCCAGGAAGGCCAAAGGGGAGCAGCCAGACCAAGAGCAGCGAGACCC